CAGGAACAGAACTGTTTCTACAAACTGTCAAACATTTCTGTTCATAATTTTTTCTGTCCTGCTAACTTTTATTTAACTCTTTTTGCAATCTGTTTCATCATTGCAGTTGTCTTTATGTGTTTAGGTTAGTTTGTTGCAGACCAGAGATGGTTGGTTAAACAGCAGGTACCACAGGGAGTGCAACACAAAGTTATTTTTATAAAACCTTTATAAAAAGTTATTTTAGTGTAACATTTTCTTATTATTTTTAAATACAATAGTTTTGTTCAGTCTAGAGTTTCTTCATTTGCTCAACCTTCCTTTACTTCTTTACTTCCTTTGCTTCTAAACAGTAACTCTTAAAATAGGCTTTTATTTTGAAAGCAGTTAGATTCTGGTTGGTCTTGCTGGTCTAATTGAATAATAATAAAAACAATTATATTAATAACAGTAATGAGGTTTTTAACACACTTTTATTTGTTGTATTTCTTAGTTCCCACATTCATCTCAACTTACATCATTTCTTTTAATTTTTAAATTAAGTGAGAACTTCTCACACAGTTTAAATCACGATACAATTCCCATTATCACAGAACAAATCAGTAAATAAAAACAACCTTAAACTAAAACATACTAAAGACGGCTCAGCTTAAAGGCAAATACTCTGTTTACAGACATTCTCTGAGTAGTAAATATAAGCCATACAACTTCTGAACCCAAACGGAGAAGAAAAGAGAAAATGTTGACCTAAACTTAAGTGAACTACTGAGAACCGTGTTTGTTGATATTTGGAGTGTAAACCGTCCCACCCTGGAAACCGGATAGCCGTGGGAATGTCTCAGAAACAAGAAGTGTTAAAACAAAGAAACTGCTGAGCTGTTCCAATCTATTGTTGTTAATAGTAAACAGAAGGAAAGAATAAATGTCCAAAATAAGTCCTTACACTTCATGACATAGAAACTTACAGATTAGGTCCTAATTCATGTCAGACTCATCCATTCATTTTCTAAACCTGCTTCTCCGTGCCTGTCTATAGCAATCATTGTATGGGGGGGGGGGGGACACACACACACACACACACACAGAGACTCAAACCAGAGACCAATTAACAGACATGGGCTGGGAGGAAACCCAGAGAGGTGGAGCATTTTCTGCAGCCTGAACAGACCTGAGCTCAGCAATGAAAACAGTAGACATGGTTGTTGACTTTGGAGAAAATGCAGCCCCACCCTTCCCATCATCCTTTGCAAATCTCCAGTTGAACTTGAACTCCTGCTTCCTGAGCACCATCATCTCTCAGGACCCCAAACTGGGAGCAGAACATCACCTTCCTCACTCAGAAGGCCAGGCAGATGAAGTACTTCCTGCTCCAGCTGGTGTCAAAGTCCAGCCTTTCAAAGGCATTAATGGTTCACTTCTACTCCGCCCTCATTGGATCCATCCACATCTGGTACGCCGCTGCCAGCAACCAGGACAAAGGCCGACTGCAGCGTATCATTTCATCTATAGAGAGGGTGATAGCTGCTACCTGCCTTCTCTTCAGGAACTGTACACCTCCAGGACTCTGGGGCTGAAATGAGAGATTCCAGTTGGCCCTACCTCAGCTTGGGACAAAAATCGTTTTAGACTAATTCTGAATACATGAAATCATAGCTTGTTAAGTTTTGGAGAAACTGATAGAGGCTTTTCTTGCAAGAAAGGGTTTAAATTTATTTTACGTCTTTAGACGGAGAGAAAAGCTCTGACTGGAGCAAGCCCAGCACACACTTTTATACTGTACAACTCCCAACACACTCTCCCTTGGAACCATCCCACCCCTGCATAAAGAAATTTCTCACACACAAACATTCAGCCAGTTCATCAAGGACATTCCCTGTTAGGTTACTATGTCTTTTACTGACCAGATAAACATTTCACAACAACTATCTTCTGTTCATGGCAAGAGGGAGCCTCAAGCACCTTAGAGGGCATGTTATCTATATTTCACTCTTGTCTAGAGTGAGCAGGCAACTGCTTTCTGTCACCCCTACCTTAAACATTCCAGTATAGAGAGTGGTACAAGATTTCTCTAAACTCACTCCTATTAGGCCAAGAAAAGGCACATTCTAAGTATTTAATCTCACAAATAGGCCGAGGAAAAACATGCTTTCACAAGCTCCTAGCTCCTATCCCTGCACCTTTCACTGAGTAAACAGGAAGAACTCTATCCAGGATAGGAAAGTAGCTCCAGACTGCTGAGTTCAATCCAGAGAGTCTCCAGCTTTACAGACAGCGACAGACATGCATGACTCTGGTCAAATTAGAACCAATCCCTGCAGAAAAAGAATAACAAACATAGTGGATGGCTAAAATTCTTTGTGATCAAACATATGAAGGTGTGTTCATTAGTACGTCACACCTTTGAATGTCAGGAGGTCCCTATGCTAACTGCATTGGCACAAGGAAGCCTCCTGGTCCTAGCTCCTTCCTGGCTGCCACTGCTATTCAGATAGTCCTAATTACTGCAGTGGGTAGTAATTAGTTACATTTACTCAGTTACATTTACCTGAGTAACAATTTGAAAAAAAAAAAATACTTTTAGGAATAGGTTTACTGTGCTGTACTTTTTACTTTTATTTGAGTAATATTCTTTTAAAATATTGCTATTCCTGCCTGAGTAAATCTCTGAGTACTCTGTCCTCTGAGTCATTTGAAGTATTTCAAAATCAGGTAAACATACAGTAAACAGTATTACCTTTTCATAGTATATACAGTTCTCATTGTACGAATGGATTTTCTAAGATTTAAATTAAAAAAATGGTAAAAGTATTTCTTCTACATTAATTTGTTATTTATATTATATTTATATTAATGACATTTATTTGTATACTTTAGGCATTTGAGTCTTTAAAATGTCAGATCTCACACATAAAGTCTGTTTTCCATCATGATTTATAAATATTAAATCTGATGTTATTATCCAACAGTATTCAAGAAGCCTTTTTACTGAATACTTTTTTTCCACTTTCCTCGAATAATTTATTGGATGAGTACTCTTTTAATTTGCTTGAGTATGAAAACGTTAAAGTAGTGCTACTCTTACTTGAGTACAATCTGTGGGTACTCTACCAACCTCTGACTAATTATGGCGACCGCTGACGCATGTCCACCACTTTCTAATCAGTTTGAGGTATTTGAACGGATCCTCAGTCTCTCCCCTCTGGCAGGAGGCTGCGGTCCATCAGGACCAAAACCTCCTGCTACTAAAATAACTTATTCCTGTCTGCCCCTCTGACACAGTTCTCATTTTCTGTAAATTTTCTGTCTTTTCTTAATATTTACATCCAAACTGTATTTGTTTATTTAACCTAATATTCGTCTGACATGTTAAACACTGTTTGGAAATGAAGATTGATCTGTTTTTGATTCTATCAATCTGACGTCTGTACGGAGGAGGATTAGGGGAGGATTAGGGCCCTTAAAAACAAAAAAAACGTCTGCCTAATAAAACAGAAATGGCTCTTAACCTCTCACTGTTAATGTCAAAGTACAGATACAAATACTTTGTTCCTTTACTTAAGTAGAAATTTTGGGGTAATTATTTTTTTCCCTTCTCCTTACATTTTAAAAATAGACTAAGCTAATTTTATTTATGGCCTGTTGGAATAAAAAAATAAAAAGCATCAAAATAATTTGTTTTATCCAGACAATAAATTTTTTTGTGGTTGGATTCGGTGCTGCACCAACCTGTTGTTCACCACAAACCAAAATAAATAGTTTTTCAAAGTTAAATTTGACACTTTTACCATTTGTTATAAAACTAAGAAAATTAAATATAAGAAAATTATCATCCAAATTTGTAAAAACAATTCATTTAATAGGATAGTGCAGTAAGGCTTATCTCCTTAACAATTTTTCCTGCATTATTTTTATTTTTATGCTTTAAGTCATTTAAAAAAATTGTACTTTTACGCGTTTACTTGACTAAAAAGCTTAAGTTGATACCCTAACTTATACAAAAGTGTTTTTAAAAAGAAGGATTTATACTTCTACTTGAGTAATTAACATTAATACTTTTGACACCTCAACTGTAATATTCGTACTTGATCCAAGCGATAATCCTGACAGGGGCAGATTTAGGAAATTTGGGGCCCTAGGCAAAAACAGGCATGGGGCCCTCTGAATTGAGAAGACAACAATTAAAACAGATCCATTATATAGAGACAGAAATTTTAATAGAATAGACATCCATTATCTGTTCTAGGTTGTGTCCCTCTCTTCTTGTCCCTTTTCTTCTTGTTTTCCTTTCTATGTTTTGTACTCAGCTGACTTTTCATGCTGAAAGATTTTTTCCAAGCACTAAGCTCA